CTCTAGAGGAGGAAACTGAGGAATTGACAGTAAATAAGGAAATGGAGAATGAAATGAATGAATATTTTGCTTCCGTCTTCACGATTGTCTCATCCTCTGTCTCACCTTCATGCAGTAAACACTACGCAATGCAGCAAACAAGCAGCCATATCTTAAAGTCTTAGGGACGTAGTCGTCATCAATGTCCATAGAGGCCCCATCAGTCAGGGGAAGCCTACGATATCAGTCCAAGAGATTGGTCATGATCAGGCATTGCTCAAGGAGTTGGCTCATGTTCAGCCCCTGGGCTCCATCTACAGAAACCAGAAGGAAAGGGAGCTAGGGTTAGGGAGCGGGTGCAAGGGTAAACATTGTCTTGAGAATGAAGCTTGGCAAGTTAGTATTGGGGGCTGGGGCCTGCAGGCTGGGTATCAGGGTGAATGACAACTGTGAAGGTAGGCAACAATATCTTAATGAGGGTGGGGATGGATAATACAATAAAGGGTGGCTGGGAGGAGAGTCATGTGGGAGTGGCTGTTTGTTCATGGTTGGGCACACCCTGGTATCATGGGTCAAACGGTATTTGACCACACCTTGTGGTCACCTCATATGCCAGGGGCTGGAGGGGAGAGTTGGGCAGCTGTAGGCTCATGAAGATGTGCTTGGTGTCGACCTGAGTAGGTACAAAGCCGATGGGGTTTATAGGAAGGGCTGCCAGGAAATGGGTTAGGGGGTTAGGACATGCAGGGGCTAATCAAGATATTCAGGCAGAGGCTGAAGCTACTGGCTGAGGTGTGCTTATTGTCACCTTCCCTTGGGCTGGAAATAGAAAGTGTGCAGTAGGAAGAAAATATCAATAGCCACATCCAGATTGGGTGTTGTAAGTGAATCGACCTGTGACTTGACACCCACTGATGACAGGGCTTGTAACGAGAAAGAATACACACTATCCCATGCACTGTAAATGACAGACCTGCAAGGTCCCTAATCCCTGGCTATCCTCATGGATTGCTTCCCCATCTCCACCCCCACTCCTTAGTTCTGCAGCTGGAGTGAAGGGACTCTGCTCAGCAGTGAAAACCGTGAGCCCTGGAGGTTTGGTCAGGTCACCCAAGGTGGGTGGGGCCTTGTATCTGGGCAGGCCTGATACAATTTGAGGCTTTTTGACATGAACTTTCAAGGTACAGAACAGGGCAAGCAAGGTGGAGGGACTGGCCACCACTATAAAAGGGATTACTATGGGACCCGAATATGGGTATCTTGGCACTGCCCTGTCTCCCTGTGAAAAAGGGTGCAGAATGTGGCAGGTTGTCCATCCTCTTCTTCAGTTCTGAGGTCCAATGGTTGGGCAATGGAGTCCAAGTACATGTGCCTCTCCAGCTGACCCTGAAGGTGCTCGTCCTGGCTCTTAATGACAGCTACCAACTTGTTCATGGAAGCAGCTGGACACTTGCATGACACTTCACTGCTGCAGCTCTGGACAATGAGAGCCATTGCATCTCAGATACCTGTCTGCCAGTCTTGTTCGTCCCTGTACATATACAAGAAATCACTGATTGTTGATAGTACAGTGTCCTCTCCTGCCTTGAGCTGAGCAGGTCCTGGTCTCTGGCAGTCCTCTGAGTGCCAGTGGCCTGGGGCATTTCTTCAGCCAGCAGCAAAACTGTCATAGTAAGGTGTTCACTAGCCTGTGCTCCCAAATTTTCTAAGCCTGACTTTCCCACAGGTGTCACTATATCAGGTCTGGTGGGGGTTGCAAGAAGCAGCCTCACCAATGTTTCCGGAGTTCTCAGATGGGACATGGATGCCTCTGCATCCCTGCAAGAGTGGTCCTGGACTTTTCCTGTCAGGGCCAGGATTGTCCCTTCATCTGCCCTCAGGGGTGAGCAGTCTATTGTCCAGCATATCTCCAATTATACTTGCTTACTCTGCCCTGCTATGGACTGTTTTTCTCCTGTAATGAGAGAAAGGGTCTGAAATGAAAGTGGGTAGCATGGATGTAATTACAGGCTCAGGCTGTTCAAATTCTCCTCGTAGGATAATTGCATTCTGTGACAAGGCTAGCCTTTCTTAGGCAAGGGGATGAAACAGCATACAATACTCCAGGTGTGGTCTCACCAGTGTTCCATACAATTGAAGCAAGATGCTTTTGCCCAAAACCTCCTTGTGTTAAAAGCCTTCTGAATTGGTTGCTGCACCTATATGCTAGATTTCAGTGACATTCAGACAAGAACACCTTGACAAATCATTAACACTCTTGACATCAACACTTTTCAATCTCTCAACATTTTAAGAAAAACTGAGCCTTTATTCCACATAAAGTGCATCATGTGATACTTAGCCACTCCACTTTTACCCGTCTTTTCTTGCTCACTCACTCGGTTTATCTAAATCCCAAGAAGCAGTTTTGCATTGTCCTCGCAACATTCATTCCCATCAAGTTTTATTTAATCTCCAAACTTGGAAAGATGACAATTGGCCCCTATCTCCAAATTATTGATCTAGATTGTGAACAGCCGTCGCCCAAGCATTGATGTTTACAGTATGCTGTTGTCACAGCCTCCTAAACTGAGATTGGTCCACTTATTCCTAATTTCTACCTGTTATCCTATCATCCAATGCCATATAATGGGACTGACTGAAAGCTTTCTGAGAATAAAGATACACCACATCTACTGATTCTCCCTTACTGACTCTGCCAGTAATATCCTCAAACTCTCATGACTTCCCCTTTAAAATTCCATGTAGACTCTGTCTGATCAGACAATTGCATTTTAAACATCCAGTATCACATTTTATATAAATAAAACAAAGGTGCAGATTCTGGAGATCTGAAACGAAAACAGAAATTGTTGGAGAAACTCCACAGATCTGGCAGCATCTGTGGGAAGAAAGTGGAGTTAATATTTAAGTCCAGTGACTCTTCACCAGACTCAACTTGCTGAGTTTCTCCAGCAATTTCTGTCTTTGTATCACATCCTTTATGTGACCTTCTAGTATTTGTCGGACATTAGTAATTGGTTTTTTAAAAAAAAAATCAGTCCTTCCCAGCTTTCTCTCTACCCACTTTTCTTAAATAGGAGTTACATTTGCAAACTTCCAATCTGCAGGCACTGTTGTAAAATTTAATAGAATTTTGAAAGATGACCACTAAAACATCCATTATCTGTTTAGCTATTTCTTTCAACACTCGAGGGGGAATGTCATTAAGTTCTAAGAATGTCGACTTACAGTTCATTAATTTCTCCTTTTTTCTAATACTAATTTTCTTCAGTTTCACTCATTAGACCCTTGGATCTTACTTGTTCTAGGGAGAGTTTTTTGACCTTTGTGAGAAGAGATAAAATACTTGCTTATTTTCTCGTATAAATTCTCCTGTCTCTGCCTATCATGGTCATGCATTTACCTTTGCTAATTATTTCCTTTTCACAAACTGGAAACTTTTACAACCTATTTTTGTTTCTTACTATTTTGCATTCATATTCTATTCTCTCTTTTATCAATTGGTCGTTCTTTGCTGAATTTTAATTTTTTCCAATCCTTAGGCTTCCAGCTTTGTTTTCTACAACTATAGACGCCTTATCATTTGATCTAATACAATCTTTAACTTGCCTTGTTAGACACTGCATTCTCAATTTTTCTGTTGGGTACTCTTGCCTCAAAGAATTAATTTTTTTTTTAAACCAAGCATTAACTCTTTAAATATGAGCCATGACCTACCTATATTTGAATGTACTTTTCCAATCATCTGAGCCAACTACCCTCTCATACCTTAATAACTGCCCTTGTTTAAAACTGAAGAACCTACTTTGGATTAAAACACCTTTTTCAAACAATGGAAAATATGATTATACAATGGTCACCAAGCAAGTTCTAAATTAACTTTTGTCCTGGCTTTCGTATCAATTGAATCAATCACTGAACTGCATATTGTTAGGGCAAGTCTGTATATCAACTGGTTTTTGGAAGAAATCCAAAACCCCTTTGATAATGAGTGATCCAAAACCCAGATGGGCAGGGGCTGCAATTAACTCAACATTTTCTGAGCATCTGAATGCTGTGAGTGCAGGGAGCATGACATTCATTAAATGTAAGGTTCCAGGGAATATTTGAGCATTGCAGCACTGTATAAGCCCATCAGAAATTAATTCTAATGCAGTGGACACTGTATATTACAAACAGTGGCAACTATTTTTATCATGTAGTTTGATGCACACTGAGCTTGGGTTCTTTGCAAACTGAGGAGAAAGTAAAGTCAAGAACTGTCCTGGGCTTATGCTTCATAGGAATGCTAATATATATAACTTCTAAACATTACTATACACAGTAACTATGGTTATGCCAGGCTCTGACTTAAGAGCAAAAAATTTTATAACTAATTTTATAGCATGGCAACCATTAAGGTGCATTCCTTGAGTTGAATTGACACTGATTATACACTTGCAGAAGTCATAGAAAGTGAGTCATGTTGGACAAGTGAAGACCAGATTTTGGCAGCTGAATGGCTGATTGTAAATGGACAAGGTGATGATATTGTCATTTCCAAATTTTTAAATCTTCTTCTTAAATCTTTTAAACCTGCCCACCACAGCAATGGTCCTGGTCCTGTTCAACTGTAAACTGTACAGCTTGTATTGTTACTATCTCCTCCAGAATTGATCCTAAGGTCTCAGAAATCTAAAGCCCTCCCCTCTGCAACATCTTGTCAGCCTCCAATTTGTTTGCTGCATGTTCCTATTTCTATACTCACTAGCACATAAGATTGGGGCTTCTTTCCCAGCTGCCTAACATCTTCCTGCAGAGCCACTTCCCACTTGCTGTAGCTATGGAGCATAACCTTTGATTGCTCATCCTTACCCTTAGATTGCTGCAGTTGGTCAGCGTGGTAATACAATGAGAAACTAAAGTAACAGACAATATGTAACACTTGCCACAAGATGGTTTGGATTTACCTTTCTCTCACTAACTATACTATAGACACGCTACAGAGCGATACAACTTAAAGGATATCAAGTACTTACATTTTTTTGAAAAGAAAATACATCAAAAGCAGAATGGACATCAAGAGAAGGAGAATTAGGAAAAGCCATGCAATGATAATCAAAATGTTCTCATCTGCAAGAAACAAAATGAGATAGTTAACGTAATAATGTTATTAGAAATCTGCTACATACCTCAAGGAGAAAAATTCAGTGCCTTCGAGGTTGTGGCTGTGTGGTCTCTCACTTGATCTCCATCTCTGCGTAACTTTACTTTTCTCTGTCTCTTATCCTTAATCTTCCTGACTCTCTATCCAAAACACCCTCTTGCTCTTTGCTGGTTTGGTTTGGGGGTACCAAGCCAGACAATGCACCCCCTCACTCTCCAGTCACCAAAACCTCTGCTCTTGTTCCTCCCCACTTTACAACTGGAGTGATCTAGATTATCTTGAATTGGGCTAGAGTACATTGACGAGAGGGCAGGAAAAGAGGGTAAATCTCCCTTGTGTTTGTAATGGAAAGTTCCATCTCTCCACAAGGCCCCCCCTTTATGCCCCTCACTTTCCACAATCCCTTTAATTACTGTGGCTCACCCCCTTGAGCAATCTTACCGGACATCCCTGGACGAGAAGTGCCTGCAACTTTGACTAAAGCATGTATATCTCATCACTGTATTGACCCTACTCCCCTGAGCTGGCCATTATAGAGCCACAAGAATGACTGTGACTCGTTCCTCCGGCTGCAGAGGCACAGACCCCTGACTGAGAACATCCTGACTAGATGCAGTCCATGACCTATCCCCTGCACTGGTAGGGGAGATAGCCTTGGACATACTGCGCCAGGATCACCTGACTAACAAACAGAACACAACGGTACAGCACTGGAACAGGCCCTCGTGCTGAACAGGACACCAAATGAGACTAATCCCTTCTGCCTGCCATTGGTCCATATTCCTCAGTAACACCCAGCCTGGGTTCTGCCAGGGTCCTTCATCTCCTGACCTCATTACAGCCTTGGTTCAAATCTGGATGAATGCACTGAATTCAAGAGGTGAGGTGAGAATGATAGCCCTTGACATCAAGGCCACATTTGACTGAGCATGGAATCATACAGCCCTAGCGAAACTAGTGTCAACTGGTATTGAGGTAATCTCTCTCTCTCTCTCTCTCGCTCTCTCTCTCTCCACTGGTTGGAGTCACACCTGACAAATAGGAAGAAGGTTGTGGGATTTCACCTCCGCTCCAGGACATCTCTGCAGGAGTTCCCCAGGGTAGTGTCCAAGGTTCAACCATTTTCAGCTGCTTCAATGATTTTTCCTCCATCATCAGGTCAGAAGTGGGGATGCTCGCCGATGATTGCACAATGGTCAGCACCACTCATGACTCCTCAGTGAAGGAGTCCATGTTCAAATGCAACAAGACAATATCCAGCCTTGGGCTGAAAAGGTGGCAATTAACACTTGCACTATACAAATGCCAGGCAATGACCATCCTGAACAAGAGGGAATCTAACAACGGTGGCTGAATAGTTAGCACTGTTGCCTAACAGCGCCACAACCTGGATTGGATTCCAGCCTTAGCTGATGTCTGTGTGGAGTTTGCATGTTTGCCCAGTGTCTGCATGGCTTTACTCCTGGTGCTCCAGTTTCCACCACAGTCCAAAGATATGAAGATCAGATGGATTAGCCATGGTAAATGTGTGATTACAGGATACAGCTGGTGGCTATCTCTGGGTGGCATGCTCTTCAAATTTGTTGCAGACTCACTGGACTGAATGGTTTCCTTCCATACTGTAGGGAATCTATGATTCCATGATTGCCCTTTGTCATTCAGTGAGATTACTATCACTGAATCCCATTGCCAACATCCTTGGGGTTACTATCGACCAGAAACTCAACTGGCCTCACCATATAAATATACTGGCTATATGAGCAGGTCAGAGGCAAGGAATACTGCAGTGAGTAACTCACCTCAAGTCTGTCCACCATCCGCAAGGCACAATTCAGGAGTCGAATGGAATATTCACCACTAGCCTCTGAGTGCACCTCCAACAACACTTGTTTGACACCGTCCAGGACAAAGCAACCCACTTGATTGGTAGCACATCAACAAGCATCCACTCCCTCACCACGATTGCTCAATTCATACTGGTGCTCCTATCTACAAGATGCACTGCAGAAATTCACCAAAGATCATTAGGCAGCACCTTCTAAACCTGTGACCACTTCCATCTAGAAGGAAAAGGGTAGTGACTAAATGTGAATGCTACTACATGCAAACTCCCCTCCAAGCCACTCCTCTCGACTATTATCGCTATTCCTTCAATGTCACTGGGTCAAAATCCTTGTATTCCCTCACTAAGGACATTGTACATGGACTGCAATGGTTTGAGGTGTCAGCAAGGCACCAACTAGGGTGATTATAAGAAAAAGGTGGCTCAAGGAGGCTCTATGGCTCTATGGCTCTATGAGGCACAGAATTTCTATGGTTTCTGTGGTGTAAGAATGAGCAAGAACTCAAGCTTGGATTTGTAATGGCCAAATTCATGATTTTGAAATGAATCTGGAAGACTGAAATGAGCCTACCTTCTGCAAGAGGGAGAACCTCACCATGGAAAAAATAGTTTTGGGGTTAAAGGTTAGATCATCATAGAATCCCTACAGTGTGGAAACAGGCCCTTCGGCCCAACCAGTCCAAACTGACCCTTGGAGCGTCCCACCCAGACCCATACCCCTATAACCCACCTAATCCCTGAACACTACGGGCAATTTAGCATGGCCAATCCACCTAACCTACACACCTTTGGATTGTGGGAGGAAACCTGAGCACCCAGAGGAAACCCACGCAGACACGGGGAAAATGTGCAAACTCCACACAGACAGTCACCCAAGGCTGGAATTGAACCCGGGTCCCTGGCGCTGTGAGGCAGCAGTGCCAACTACTGAGCCACTGTGCCACCATACGCAATAGGTTGTGAAAAGGAAAGGGAGGGAATAGAAGTAAACCCTTGGGGCCCAAGGGAAAACTGAAAGATCACTTAAGGGATGGTGAAATCTGTTTTATAGTTTATACCATAGTGTCATCTATAAAAATTGTACTTCATCAATTATGTCTGTAGTCTGCGTGATTTACAGCATAAGTTTAACATCATGAAATTTTGTTGCATAGAGGGACAGATGGTGGTGTGGTTGTAACAACACTGGCCAAATAACCCAGAGGCCCAAGCTAATACTCTGGGGACATGTGTTCAAGTTGATTTTAATACAATTAATAAAATTTGGAATTGAAAGTTTGCCACTATTGCTGAGGCTATGAAATTAACAAAAATTGTAAAATCCCATCTGGTTCACTCATGCCCTTTAGCGAGGGACATCTGCCGTCTTTACCTGCTCTGGCCTGCATGTGACTGCAGACTCTCAAATGTGGTTAACTCTTAACTGTCCTCTGAAGCAAATTAGCAAGCTGCTCAGTTCAAGGGATATAGGGATGGGCAACAATTGTTGGCCTTGTCAGTGACATCCACATTCTACAAAAGATTTATTTTTTTTAAAGTATTTTCTGTAATCAACTGGAAATTTAAATCGAGAACAAAAACAGAAGTTGCTGGAAAAGTTCAGCAGATCTGGCAGCATCTGTGAAGAAAAATCAGCGTTAACGTTTCGGATTTGGTGACCCTTCCTCCGAACTGATGGCAGCTGGGAAAATGTCGGTTTATATGACAAGATGTTTTCCCGGCTGTCATCAGTTCTGAAGAAGGTTCACCGGACCCAAAACGTTAACTCTTATCTTTTTCTTCACAGATGCTGCCAGACCTGCTCAGCTTTTCCAGCAACTCCTGTTTTTGTTGTGGAGGTTTGAATTACTTTTTATGTTTTAAGTACAGGCTCTCTGGGGAGATTGGAACCACTAAGAAACTAATCATATGCAATGTCTCTTTATACCAATCTTTCTGCCTGTCTTTCCGTATCGGTCAACTTGTCTGCCTGGTGTAGCACTGCTCTCTGTACGAGGCAGTATATTAACCAACATGCGATTCTACCTAAACCATCATCTAGCATCCTTAAATACAATGGCAAGGCAATTTTAATCTGTGGTACACTCCTCAAAACGGACAAGAATATTCCATTCTGAAAATTTCTTTACACAAGTCAATTTAAACTCTGGTCTTTTTATATTTGATTCTAATAAAACATAATATATAATAAAGTATTACTGTTACTTTAAGTTTGTAGTAGGGTGCATGATGCAAGGAAACTACACATGATACAGATATAAATTAAAGAAATGAACAAAGGCAAAATTGCTATGTATTAATTGTGAAATCAGTACCTTTGCATATTAAAGAACTGTGCACAAGTAATTTTGCTTCAATCAGTTGCCTTGACAACTGGTTTGTGATACGGAATAATGCTAACAGAGTGGATTCAATTCCCACACCTACTGAGGTTAACATGAAGGACTGCTCTTCTCAATCTCCCTCCTTACCTGAGAGGCGATCCCCAGGTTAAATCACCTCTTTAATGACACATGGCAAAATCAGTGACTTTCCTGTTACTTTTATAACTTTAAAAAAACTGCATTTTGCACATGAACAGATTGATATTTACCAGATTTCTTTGTGGTAAGATTCAAGACTGAACTATTTGTTCCACCTGCATCAGTTGTTGCCATGACTTTCACCTCGTAATCAGTAGCAGCTAGAAGCCCAGTCAACGTGTATCTCCTTTCCAATTCATTTCTCACGATATCTAAATTTATCAAAGGAGCAAAATATGTGTGAAAATCACATGGAAAATTTATGAACAGCTGAAACAGAACTAACACAGAAAGAACAGAACAATACTTGGTGATTTTCTGAAAGAAATTGATACTTTTGGAGAACCAGCACTATAAACTCTATGGAAACAAGCCACTTGGCCCATTGAGTCTGCAGGGTAGTATACAAGGATCTGCAAGCTAGGCAGATTAGCCCCGATAGGTGTAGGGTCAAGGGGATAGGGTGAGGGTCTGGGTCTGGGTGGAATGCTCTTCGGAGAGTCGTTGCAGACCCGAGGGGCCGAAGGTCTCTTTTTGCACTGTAGGGATTCTATAATTCTATGATTCTACGTGGTAAGTGTGGAATATGCTGGCAGAGGAGGTTTGAGAAGCTGATACAATAGCAATATTTAAAAGGCATCTTGACAGATACAGGAACAGGCAGAGGATAGAGGGAAATGGACTGCGTAGAGGCAAAAGCATTTTTAGTTTAGAAACGCTCTTGTGGGTTTGATGGACCAAAAGGCCAGTTCCTGTGACGTACTGTTCTTTGTTGTTTGTACTGACAGGACTTGATAGAGTGGACGTGGAGATCTTTCCACTAGAAAGAGAGACAGAGTGCAGCCTCAGAATGAAGTGTTGACCCTTTAGAACTGAGATCAGGAGGAATTTCTTCAGCCAGATGATGAAGAATCTGTGGAACTCACTGTTGCATAAGGCTGTAGAGGCCAAGTCATTAAGCCTATTTAAGACAGGATAAATAGGTCTTGATTACGAAGGGGATCAAGAGTTGTGGGGAGAAGGCAGGAGAATGGAGTTAAGAAACATATCAGCCGTGATTAAATGCAGAGCAGACATGATGGTCAAAATGGCCTAATTCTGTTCCTCTATCTTATCGTCTTACAATACAAGATGATAAGTTTATCATATGACAGCAATAGGAACAATTTACATTGGATAGACATTAATTATGGCTAAGGCTAACAGGAGCCTGATACATCTGACCCCATTGGGATCTAGAGCTGACCTTAATTGATTCTCCACGCAAGACAGGTGACATCAGACTGATGGAATCCAATGCAGTCTACAACATTAATCCTTTCAGGACCTTTCCAACATCTTCCCAGCATCCCCTCTCCTCAGTCCAAGTTTCATTCTATATAGCTAACATTTAAACAATTTCCTACAATCCCATCTCCCCTCAAGTCTCTGACTTCACAAATTCAAGCTGACTGCAGGTTTTAGAATTCTTCCAGAACACATTCACGTTGGATTTGGAAGACTAGAACGATCAATCTTGATTCAGATCTTCTGCAAAATGTGTTTTTGATCTGCAAATCCTTTCAGCATAGAAATGATTTACAGATGTATTTACATACATTATCTTTACGCGTTAATATAAGTTGTCTATGGATACATAATACAAATCAGATTGAGGTCATAGAATCCCTACAGAGTGGAAATAGGGCATTTGGCCCATTGAGTCCACATCGACCCTCAGAGCATCCCATCCCTTATCCCAGTCCCGTAACACTGCATTCCCCATGGCTAATCCACATATCCCTAGACACTATGAGCAATATAGCATAACCAATCCACTTAACCTGCATATTTTTGGACTGCAGGAGGAAACTGGAGCACCCGGAGGAAATGTATGCAAAGACAGGGAGAACATGCAAATTCCATTCACACTTTCACACTCATGTGACTTTGAACGTGGGTCCCTGGCACTGTGAGGCAGCAATGCAAACCAGTGAGCCACCGTACCACACGTTAAGCAGTTCCTTTCCATGTCAGTATTTGTTTATTTTGCCAAAACCCAGGAAAGAACCATGGACTTTAGATCTTCAGTCTAACGCTCTCTGAACACTTTGAATTCTTTGAAGAGGTGACCAAACACGTGGATGAAGGTAGAGCAGTGGATGTGGTACACATGGATTTAAGTAAGGCGTTTGATAAGGTTCCCCACGGTAGGCTCATGCAGAAGGTAAGGAGGCATGGGATAGGGGGAAATGTGGCAGATTGTCTTCTAAGGGTCAGCCAATTCTGAATCCAAAGGGTGGTAGTGGGCGGAATATATTCAACATTGTGCTTAGTTACGAGTGGTGTACCACAAGGATCAGTTCTGGGTCCTCTTCTATTTGTGATTTTTTGTAAATGATTTGGATGAAGGAGTGGAAGGGTGGATTAGCAAGTTTGCGGACGATA